ACAAAGATAAGTCTCCACATTGCGATTCACCACCTTCGTTTGACCATCTGTCTGGGGGTGGGAAGTTGTACTTCACTTCCAAATAGTCTCATGCATCTTGAATAACTCCCCCAAAAAGTGGCTCAGAAATACTTTGTCCTGATCAGACACAATGGCCTCAGGTATGCCAGGCAAACAGACCACCTCTTTAATAAATGTGGTTGCCACCGACACCGTGGTGTATGGGTGGTCACTCAATGAAGTCCATAGTCATCTTTTCCCACCCCTCGGGTAATGCTAAAGGCCATAGAAGATCACTTGGAGCCATAGCCAGATATTGGTCTCTGGCACACATCAAAACTAGCCACCAACTCTACATTCTTTTACATACCCACCAAATATAGTTCTATTGCTAGTCTATGATATGTCTCTTATGATCTTTTGAATGTTCCCCAATATATGTGCCATGAAACACCTGTAACAAGTGAGGGATGCGTGGTGATGTCCTCGACAACACAAACTGCCCATAGTATAGCAACTTCTGACCCATCAAAGAGTAACCAGGATGTCTATCATTTTCCTGCAATAAGTCTCCTTTAATCTTACTCAGCTCCTCATCTTACTGTCTCTCACGCTTCAAGGCCTCCCAATTCAGCACCATGGAAATTGATAGAGCCAGAACTTGAGGGTATTCACTACGCCTGGAGAGAGCAACTGCACCTTTATTTTCTAGCTCGGGCTTGTACTGGATTCTTGAAGTCATAACCTAACTTGAAAGCCATCGTTGATGCTCCTCTGTCACCATCCTCTATTCTAACAGAAACTTTAAACTCCTTTGGTTGGTCTTGATTAATGAATTGTCGCCCCAATAGGTAAGGTCTTTATTTTTGCTTTGTCAATACTATCTCCACCAGCTCCCTTTCATACATTTGATTTTAGCCTGGCCCTAGCGGTCAACTCTTGGATGAAATAAGCTATGGGTCTCTAACTCTATATAAAAACTGCTTCCTACCCATAGCCTGATGCTTCAGTCTCCACTACAAATAGCTAGCTGAAATTTGGTAGTGCTAATATAGGGACGCTCGTCATGGCTTTCTTCAGCTGCTCAAATACAATGGTGGCTACCTTCCCCCCAGTTGAAATTATCCTTATTTAGTTGCTCCATCAACGGCCATGCCATAGAGCTGTATCCCCACACAAATTTTTTGTAATACCCCATGAGTCCCAAGAACCCCCTCAACTCCTTTAGGGTTTTGGGTAAGGACCACTCCAACATAGCCTTTATCTTGGAAAGATTTGCAGCTACTCCTGATTTGGACACCACGTCCCAAGTACTTCACCCTCTGTTGTGCAAAGGAACACTTTTTCAAATTGGCATACAACTGATACTCCTTCCTTCAATGTTACTAACATGGCCCTCAAGTGCTCCACGTGCTCTGTTTCCGTCCGACTATACACCAAAATGTCATCAAAGAAAACCAATAAAAAATTGTGGAGGTAGGGTTGAAATACCTTATTCATAAACGAATAGAAGGTAGCTAGGGCATCGGTAAGCCCAAAATGCGTTACTAAAAACTCATTGTAGCCTTCATGAGTCCTGAAAGCAATCTTATGGATGTCAGCAGGGCGCATTCTGAGTTGATGGTATTATGATTTCAGATTAATCTTGGAGAACATCATTGTTCCATATAACTCATCCAACAACCTATTAATGATTGGTATGATTGGTATAGAAAACTTATCCAACACTGTTTCCTTATTCAGAGCCTAATAATCTATGCTAAATCTCTAACTATCACCTTCTTCACCAGCAACACAAGACTGTATAAGGGACTAACACTAGAACAAATGATATAGGCCTCAAACATCTATGTGATCAGTCTCTCAATTTCATCCTTCTGAGCCTATGAGTATCAGTAGGGTCAAACACTGATAGGGGGATACCTTGTCCTTAAAGATGATGGCATGCTCATGCTCCATTGTGGGAGGTAGGCCCTAAGGCAGCTGGAACACCTCACTAAATTGTTGCAGGAGTGGTTGGACTATGTACGGAATTCCCCCCTCTCTCAATGCTTCCCCCTCTCTCAAGGCTTTGGAGCTCCGTCAAGAATCCTATACATACTCCCTGGATTGACCTCACGATGTTCTTAAGAGAAACCCTGGTTTTGGACATTCTAGTATCCCCCCTGATTCTCACTTTCCTCCCTCCCATGATGAATTCAATAGTCAATGTCTTCTAGTCCACCTTTGTTTCCCCTAATATCTGCAACCACTTCATGCCCAAAATTACATCGGTACTTCCTAACTCCAAGTGAATAAAATCCGCCTTCACTTGGATCTCCTGTAGTGTCCCATTACCCCTGGGCAGATGCCTCTACTCTTCTCCCTCTTCCCCATTCTCATAATCACCCCAAAACAACCCGTCTGGACTAGATTCAACCCTAATCGGTCCACCACCTGGTTGGAGATGAAGTTGTGGGTCGCCCGACTGTCCACCAAAACTACCATTGATTCTCCTCCTACTTATCCCCACACCTTTATAATGTGATTTGAGGTAAATCTCACCAGTGAGTTTAGGGCGGCCTCCGCCACATCTAGGTGCAAATGCTCCTCCTCAACCACCTCCTCCTCTAGAGTCTTCTTCTCCTCATCATAGACTATAAGGACTTGCAATGAACAATCCTTATAGTGATGGCCCGGTGAACTTCTCATCACAATGGAAATGCAATCCCTAGCCCGCTTCTCTTGAACCTTTGCCTCAGTCAGCCGCTTGAAGTTTTCCCCGGCTATGCTTCCAATCCCCTATCCTTGGGTACCTCTCTCTGAATGGGCACAGGTTGTACTTTTGGTGCCAAAAAAGTAGTCGTTGCCCGATATGAAGCTCCCAAATTGATGCCTTTGCTGCTTCTCTGTAGTGAGTTGTTGTCCTCCACCAACTGGGCAAGCTCTATAGCCTCCCCCAACCCTCATGACCTCAATTACTAGATATCAGCCCTGATTATGGCTTGAGTCCCTTCATGAAATTCCCCTGCAACACTATCTCGGATAGCCTCCCCAATCGGCTAGAAAGGTACTCAAACCTCTCATGATAATCCATCACTATCCCTTTCTGAAATAGAGCAAAGAACTGCGCTCATAGAAGTCTCCTTTCCGACTAGTTCAAAAACTTTCTAATAAACTATCTTTGAGCTCCCTCTATGATAGGATTGGATCTCTCATGTCTCTCCACTTTCTTCGACGCCATAGGTCCCGAGTCGTGCTTTGATACCAATTTCATAGGATTTGTCTACAAAAACAGCACACACACTTCAAATGGATTTGTCAACAATGTAAAAAAAAATAACAAACTTACTTCAAATGGATCAAGAAATGACACCAAGGGGTTATAATGACTAATCTCCAAGCAAAGAAAGGCAAGATACGAGTTGATTCACTGTTCAAGAGTTGAATTGTCTCTCCCACTATTTCTAGCAGCCATTAAGAACTCAAAATCCCACAAAAATTGTTGTAGAAACAAATTCAACATATCCCTAACCCTCCACAATTTTCACCTCTTAAACAGCCCAAAACCCTAGAATAAATGCCACTTATATCTTTCCCAAAGAGCTCCCCTAAAGCCTCCTCTCTTATCGGCGATAAATGTGGTTCTGTGTAGGGGTGTAAGTGAGCCAAGCTAGCTCGTGACCCGGCTCGTACTCGACTCGTTAACGAGCTCACGAGCCGAGCTTATCGAGCTCGAGCTCATTTATTAAACGAGCTCGAGTTTGAGTTGGTTTAGGCTTGGCTCGTGTGCTCGTGAGCCGGCTCGAAATTATTTAATTAATTAAATTAATTAGCGAACATATTTTTATTAAAAAAATAAATAAATCTGGTGAGAGGAGTTTTGGCCTATAGTTTTAAAAAAATGATGGCTATTCAATAAAAATATACCTATTTCGGCCTATATGACAGTACTTCCTATATGATAGTACAACTTATACCTCATCTTCATTAATATAGGAGAGAAGTTTTAAAAAAGTATGAATAAAAAACTATTAATTACTTTCCCCAAAAAGAGTTGTTGCAGGTTAATGCTAAAAAAATCCTAGTGTTTAATTTTTTTTTTTGGAAATACAAAAGGACAAGGCAGCAAAATGAAATATTAGGTGGGAAAATGAGAAAAAATGCGAAATATAATCATAATAAAGTAGCTCGCGAGCCGGCTCGAGCTCGTTAATAGTGTGACGAGCTCGAGTTCGAGCTCGTCTTTTGAGCTCGACTTGAGCTCTCTTTCCGACTAACGAGCCGAGCTCGATAGGGCCAAAACTCGACTCGTTTACACCCCTAGTTCTGTTCCCCACAGGGAAGCTGAAAGGTTCTTAGCTGTAAAGTTTCTGTGCCCAGCATCAAAAAGCTTGCTCGAGCTCAAGCTTGTTTGCTAAAATTGCGCTTGAACTAGATTCTGATTTGAGTATTTATAGTAATATTCAAACTTTGTTTGTTTAAAATTATAATTGTTTGAGTTAGTTTGAGCTATGCTTTTTACCTATACAAATGAGCCTCATGGAGCCTATTAATAAACAAGTATTTTAACGAATATAAGCATGTGGCTTGTGTTCATTAAAAAAAAAAAGTCAAATATAGAAAAGAACATGACTCCCACAAAATAATATATAAAAAGTTTTAAGTGATCATATTATTGAGGTTCAATTGAACTTGTTCACAAATTTTAAATCATATTCTTCATGATCATAAACAAATTAAACACCAAGTTGCTTAATCTTATTTATTTATCAATTGATTATTTATAAAAGTGGTCGAGCTTGTTCCATCAGTTAATTAAGCGATCATGAATGAGCTCTAATCGGATTGAACCATGAGTAGTTTGTCGAGCATATCAATTCATTTGCAACTCTTATATATATGGATACAATATTGGGCTCGAGATGACCCATCAACTTCAATTTTATGAATGCTAAAAAAGTTGCTTATGGTCTTCATCTTTTTTTTTTTGGTCTCTTGGTCATTTATGTTGGATGCAGATCAAAGAAGGATTTGCAGATGGGAAAGATCTGGTGGTGACCGTTATGTCTGCAATGGGTGAAGAACAGATGTGCGCTCTCAAGGATATTGGCCCAAAGTAGTTCCACATCCATAACAATATATAATAATATATTACTGATTTTTTAGCACCGTAATGTTTTGTGTAATTCAAAAAAACTGTGGGAATTTGCGAGCAATCCCTGCCGCAGGAACTCTCTTCGGCTCGGGGAATTATTACGCCCTGTCAACGGACGTCTGACATCCAATCCGGGCGCACCACGCCACCAAAATACACTGGGGCCCGGTGTATTTCGGTGACGTGACGCGTCTGGATTGATGTCCGGACGAATCTGGATACCGGACGTAATAATTTGCCCTTCAGCTCGGTATGTCTCGTCACTGAAGCCTATCGGGTTTTGTTTAGTTGTTGATTTCTTTCTTGGCTTTGTTACTTCTATGAAGTTTACGTATATATGTTCTTTTGTGTTCTGAAATTTTTATTTAATCTTGAGGGTATTTATTCTCGAGTTTGACTTGCTGAAATATATTATTCCTGGGCTTTCTAAATGGTAATGTTCAACTTATTTTGTGTGGACGTTGAACGCTGTTCAGAGCTCAATGAAAATGTGTCATGTCACCTCCTACTCGGTAACGCAGCTCGGTACTGTTTGGTAGTAGATGATGTGACTGCATCTGATTCGCCTCTCAACGGTAAGCAGTGTATTTGTCCACTGAATGTGACTTCTCTATAAGCTCAAAATTGCTTTCTCAACTTATCAAGTGTACTTTCTCGCTATATAGGTAATTGCAATGATATTAATCGATCACATTCTATGAAATTATATCAAATTATCATATTTGTAGGGGGATATCTGACTATAAATAATGCTTGGATTAAAAATTATACTATATACAGCATAATTTCATTAATTCTTAAAGAAAATCCATAAAATATTCCTTCATTCTTTCTTCCGGTTTTTTTCAATGCTTTGTTCATTAATTCTTTAATTAATTTTTAAAAAAATTAAGAAAGAATATCTATAAGTGAATTGATCATAGAATGAAAGCACAAGCTACCATATCCCAACTTCGCTTATGCTCTTGCTTGAAATAGTTAAGCGGCTATGCTTTGGTCAAATTTGAAGGCTTTATTGGCCCATCAATGTGGGGGCCCAATGGGTTCTCTATGTATCGGGTCAATTCAACTTCGTCACATTGCTTACAGTAGACTTTGATTGATTTTCTATGGTCACGGAGAGAATATATTTGTTCTTCAGAGTACAAAGATATATATATATATATACGGGCTACTTAATTTATTTTTTGTTTTGTTTAGCATATTCCTTTCACAAAAGGTGATAATTTCTTATTATGAGAGCTCTTGCGTGATAGGATATTCATGGAGAGATTATCAAATTTTGCACATAAATAAAAAAAAATTCTAAGGAGATGCTAAAATAGTAAAATTTTCATGTAAATTTTTAAAAAGGAAAAAAAAAAGCAGTCTAAATCAACTGAAATAAAGATTACAGAAGGATGTTCTTTCTCTCACTTGCAAAAGAAGGTTTTCAAAAAATTGATTGTTATTTTGATCTCATAGAATTTTGGTGAAGAATAATGGGATGCACTGAAGAGTGATGATGACAATCAAATAATGTTAATCAGGTGATGGTGGTAAGGTGATGATAGGTTGTTGTTTACAGTCAGATAATAATGATCAGGTGATGATAATAGATGATTTTGAAGGGTGAACATGATCAAGCAATGCTGTTTGAGCTACCATGATTGCTAGCAGTGATTGCTTATGTTGATTGTTAGAGAGGCTCTTGAGTTCATTAGATCTCCAAGTTCTCTCCAGTTTGAGATCATGTGGGTCTATTTAAGATGTTTTCTATCTATTTTAAATACCCAAGATCTCCATCAAATAGTTTGTGTTTATATCCTCAAGCATAAACTCTTCCATAAACTTTTAAGTGCCTTAATGACATTAGTATTAAATGATACTGAGCTCGTTGGATTCCTCTTGCCATGACACTCATTTTGATTATAAACTTGCAATATTAGGAGCTTGTTTGGTCATACAATTTTCAATAATGCTGAACTTTTGAACTCATATGAAAATACTTTTTGTATTGTTAGACTTGCATTATCTATTGTTACTTCTGTTCAAACACAAGGTTGTTTGATCAAGTATTTTCCTATTGGATTATGTCAATGATCAGCCTTAAGCATTTATTTTTTTGCTTTGGTTATAGATGTGCTTACTAGACTTTTTTTTTTTAATGTTCTTACTAGACATTTGCAAGAGAATTTACCCTGTTGTATGTTTTTTGTTGATGATGTTCTTCTTGTTGATAAGACTAGAGAGGAAGTTGAAGGTAAACTTTGAATTATAGCGGTCAACCTCAGAGTCTTAAAGATTTTCATTTGAGTAGATCTAAAACCAAATACATGCAGTGTAATTTTAAGAGTAATAGATCTAATTGAGGTTTGTGACTTTGAGCGATCAAGCCATTAATAAGTGTATGCATTTTAGATATTTTGGGTCTATTGTTCAGAGTGATGGCGAAATAGATGGAGATATTATTAGTAGAATTTAAGTTGGAGGGTTGAAGTAGAGGAATGCTTCAGGTTTGTCGTGTGATAGAAAAGTACCAGTCAAACTTAAGGGAAAATTTTATAAGATTGTGGTGAGGCCTGCAATGATTTATGATGCAGAATGTTGGCCATTAAAATAAAGGCATAATATTAAGTTAAGTGTTGCTGAGATGAGGATGTTCAGGTGGATGAGTGGATTTACTCTTAGAGATAGGAGACGAAACGAGCATATCCGAGAAAAGGCTGGAGTAGCTCCAATGACATATAAGATTAGAGAGAGTCACCTTAGATGGTTTGGTTGTGTAAAACGGCTGCTTCTGATGACCATGTTAGGAGAGTAGATGTATTATATTTGACCTCCGATAAGAAAGGTAGAGGTAGACCTAGAAAGATTTGATTAGAAAATATTAGAAATGACTTTTCTATATTAGATTTAAATAATAATTTGACTCTTAACTAGACACAATGGAGAAAAAGGATTCATGTAGTCGACCCCATATAGTGAGATAAAGACTTGATGTTGATACGTCCTCAAAAATTGCTTTGATTCAGCACGAATCTCGAGGCATATTATAGTTGGAAACTTTCAAAATTAAATTTGGGATCATATAAATTTCAATTTCAGCAAACTTATAGTCAAACTGAAGCTTCAAGAGCTCTAGCACCACCGCCCGCCCGCCGACCGTAGTTGGATTTCAGTCAAACCTTTGTCGGACCACTGCTCGGTCGCCAACCGGACTTCAGCCCGACCTTCGTCGGGCCACTGCCCGGCCGCCAACCGCTGCCAGACCACCGCCCGTGAAAGTTTGTTGAAATCAGAGTTCATGTGATCCTGAATTTAATTTTTGAAGTTTTCAGGTTGATTTTGCCTCGAGATTCGTGCCCGGTCAATATAATTTTTTTAGGATATATCAATAATCATTGCTGGCTAGGTACCAAGTTCAAATCCTTTGGCACTTCGTGACAGTCTTAAGTGTCGGCCTGTGTAAATTGATGTTGGTTGCATGCTAGGTCGACCAGGGAGATTAGTGGCCGAAGGCCGATACTCCCTGCCCAAAAAAAAAAGCTTATGGTACTACTTAAAAGCATATGACATGTCGTTTAATTAATTTTTTCATAATGGAGATCAAACGACGTGGCTTTCACATGTTCACATTCTTGATGTGGACTTTCTATGGATAAAAGAGATGCCCTTATTTGTTATGATCTCAAAACTTAATGTGCCAATAGGGTAGGGATTGGAGTTCTATAATAGTTTTCATTACTAATTTAAATTTTTATTTGGGACAACTTTTTTGACTGTTTTGTAAAATTACTGTAGAGAAAATCACTTTTGAAATTAAGATAAAAAGCAGCTTTTTAGCACAAAAATATTTTGAAAGCCTGAAAAAAGCAGCGACCAAATAGAATTGTGATTGTAGCCTGAAATATAAAACAATAAGAAAGTTGTTCCAAACGAAGCCTTATGATTCATTTGGGACAACTTTTTTAATGCTTTTTAGAACAATATTTTAGTTAAAAAAAAATTGAATTAAAATTTTTTGTACTAAAAATCTGTTTTAGAAAGCAATGAGAATGTTGTCCCAAATAAAGCCTTAGTTACTCTAAACTTAGGTAATTAATATAAATATATAAATTGTTATAAACTTTCAGGTATTTAGAAATCTAATTTTGTTCAATCATTTCATTGCCAAAAATTTTAACAATTATTAAACGAAACAAAATAATATCTACATAAGTGAATCATTTTGAACATAATTAAAAATAACTATAATTATTTTCTTCAAGAGCCTATCACTTCATTAATTAATTGTTCAAACAAATTTACACACCTAGTCTCTTGGCGAAATTTTCAAATGGAGCAGATTTGCTAAAAGTTTTAGGATTGGTAGCATTTAAAAAATATAATTTAAAAAGGAGCATAAACGCAAAGCAGGATAGCATTTTGTATGGAAAACGCGATGGGCTCTGTATTTTTAATGAAAACGCAAAGCTGCTTTGCATTTTCTATGAAATTTAATTTTTAAATTTCAATTAAAATAAAACTTTTAGAAAATTTGTTTTGGATGAAGAAAATGCCACCTGCTATCGCATTTTCATAGAAAATGCAAAGCAGCTGTGCATTTTCATGAAAAATGTAGAGCCCCATCGCGTTTTGTATGCGCTATCCTACTTTGCTTTTATGCTCCTTTTTAAATTATATTTTTTAAATGCTCTTAATCCTAAAACTTTTAGCAAATATGCTCCATTTGAAAATTTCGCTGAGTCTCTTCTTGCTATCTAAGCAATTATTAACACTCTTATTTTTCAAAACTCTCTTAGAAATCTTAGCCTAAAATTTAATTTTTATACGGTCAAGTGCATATATATATATATATATATATATATAGCTCATCATTCCATATTAGCAATATATAATATCCTCTTTAATCACATACTAATTACATAATTAAAGTTAATAATTTTATTTATGTCATAATTATGAGGTGTTAAACATGATTAAGTAATGCATTAAAAATTTAGTTAACCAAATCTTGCCAAATTTTAGGTGGATATCTTAATTGGTAGGTCCAATAGGATTCAGCTTGATTAAATTTGAGACAATCTTTCATAATTTCTAAAGTCAACTCAATCATTATTTTTCCTTTAGATAGACAGTACATAGAGTCAAAGTTTGGACAAAGTCTTTTCTGAAATTTCACAATTTTATTATTTTTTATTATATTTTAGCTACATTATAATTAAAATTTATTTAAGATAATTATAGAGAGAGAGAAAAAGAGAGTGAGTGAGTGAGGGAGAGAGAGAGACTCTGCCACGCACATAATTTGATTTCATTTGTGACAACTTTTTTATTGATGTCTGAAGTAACTTTTTAGTATAAGAACACGCTCCTAGGAATGCTGCTAATGAAACCGGGTTAAGGAAAAGCTGGGACATGCGTTCTTTTTACTAAAAAGCTATTTTAGAAAACAGTAAAAAAGTTGTCACATGCGGAATCATAATCAAAATCCACATAAAATAGCTGAAGCTTTGCAACCACGAAATATCGAGCTAATCAGAGTTTGGTGAAGTTCCATATAGATCTTTTGTTGAGCTATTGACTAATGAGTTAGGTGTTTAACCACCCCCACTCCATGTTGGAGTTAGGAGAATTAGAACCAAATTTGGTTGTCCATTTTATGTGGGACCCTTTTTGAAATTAAAACTTTAATAGGTCCCACACTAATGATAATAACTAATAAGTCATGAGATGCCATATGAAAGTGAGCATCTTTTCCTATATTTAATTCATTCCCTTTGTTTGAACTTCCCTCTCCCCAACTACTCTGTCATAGCAATGGAACCAAACCTAATTGTTTGCTTTATTATTATTGTTTTTTAATATTTTAGATTTTTTTTTTTTGCAAAAATCAAACAAAATAAAATGAATTTCAAAATTACTAATATTATTTTAAGATGATTCTTATTAAAATAAAATTAATAATTTTGAAATTCATTTCATTATTACCAAATTCAAACAGAGTTATCTTAAACTATAATTTTTTTTCTTTAAAATATTTTACAATGAAATTTTGATTTATTATAAAACTTATTATAGTCTCTTAATTAAAAATGTAGACTTTAAACTAAAAAAAATTAGTTTGACTTCTCATATATGTTTATATGTTGTGTATAGTGGTGTTAATTATTGACACGACCTGATAATTCAACATGAATCCGACCCAAAAAATTTGGATTCGAGTCGACCCGTTTAATAAATGGGTCGGATCCGAGATTCAATTTTCGACTTGAACTCAACCCAGAAAATTTGGATTCGAATCAACTCGTTTAAAAAACAGGCTGGGTCCAGGCTAATCGACAACTGTGAAGTAGTTTTCTTTTCTTTTTTTTTTGAAAAAAATATTTTTGAATCAGAATTGCTGGTGGGCTAAACTCAATGAGTTGATAAGTTAAATTTTAGTCAACTTTAAATTAAACTCGTCAGCTTGTAATTTTATTAGTTTTAAAAAATAATGATATAAAATATACTATAATTCAATAATTTAAGTGTGAAGCTATTAAACTTTTTGGAATTTAGAAAATATGTCTTTGTTATCTCAAGTACTTCTTATTTTTTTTATAAAATTTTTCATTTTTATCATTTTATTATCATCTTTGCTTGAAATAGAATTATATTATCTCTTTTATAATAAATTAGTTGGCTCGTGAGCTATTTGAACTCATAAAATTGTGTTCTATTGCATGCCATAATATTTGCAATGATAGAGTCAAAGAGTTTGTTGTCTTAGAGATCTTGCACAAAAATAGATCACAATGTGTGCAAGAATTATAAGAAACACTAAAATTTTTATGTTAAAAGTCCAAAAAAGATAAAAATCATGAGACTCGGCTTAGTTAAAAAATTTTACTAGTGTTTTTCATTGATTACAATGATATATTTCCTCAAAGGAAAACATTGATTTGATATAGCAAACATATAATGTATTGAACCTATTACATTTTTAAAGTTTGAATAGCCCTGTGGCATGTGAATTATCTTTAAAAGATTGTTTACTCCTTTGAGAAGGGGAGATTAAATACGAGGAAGTCCATCACAAATCTCGATTGTGATTGTGACGTTGAGAGTCACAGTTGGTGTTGATGACAGGTATCAATATTATAAATAATGGCATATTTATGAGTGATTGTAGGTGATCAAGTTAACAAGTGTCGATATAGCCAAGTGATAACTATCATAACACCATGGATCATAGGACTGTAGTTAGATTACAGTGATTGAAGAATCATAATTGGGCGATAAAAGTTGAAGGAATATAGTCGAGCGATGGTGATTGGAGTATAGTAGTCGAGTGACAATGGTCGGAGAACTACAATTATATGATTGTGATCGAAGGACTATAGTGAGACGATAAATATTGAAGAATCATAATTAGACAATGAATATTGAAGGATCCTAGTTAGACGACGATGATTGAGGGATCATAGTTAAGCGACAATAGTTTAATGATTATAGTTTTGGATGATGGGATTGGAGGGTTATCATTGAGCGATAGTGGTTAGAGAATCATAGTCAGATAGTAGTGATCAGAGGATCTTTGTCTAGTGTGGCAGTCAAAGAATCATAGTTAGGCGATGACAATCAAACAGTAGCAGTCGACCAATGATGTTGGTTGGTGGTGATTATTGAAGTTGTGACTTCTTCATATTTCCAAGCTCTCCCCTAACTATAGTCTACTCCTTTCATGTGACGATTGGAGTGTCATTTTAGTAAATTTAGCCAAAATTTAATAACACTCTATTCGAAATGTCATATCAAATCTTTTGATCATATACTATTTGTGTAGTATTTAAGTGATTTAATGATCTCATAATTGAGCAGTCTTAAGGATTGTTTGGTTGTCTATAGAAATGGTGAAAAGTATTTAAAATACATAGGTTTTGAGAATATTGGTGTTTTGTTTGAAGTAAAATATATGCATTGTAAAATTTTAGTGCATTTGAATTTCACCATCTAGTTCATTTTGTATGTATTTGAAATTCCTTATATTTGGGCGAGTTCTAAATACATCATAAATTCATTGTCATTGTCGCCATCTGATGCTAGTCACCGCCATCGCAAACAACCATCACGACCACTTCCATTGACCACAACCTACCTCTATCGGCCATTGGCTACCGCCCGTAATAGCAAACCACTGTCGCCATTAGCCCACATGTCGTCGCTCGTCGCCGATGACCACCGGCAGTGTCACGACCCGACCCGACCGGGACGGATCCCACCCGCACCGGGATGCGACCAGCCAAACAAACAGACCAGGATCTGGCTTTGGAATTTGCTTCGGAACTGATTCTTCCAAATATTTCAACTCAAAACAGAAGCACAGAGCTACTATGAAACATCAAATACAGCAGAACAAATCATCTATATTTTTCTCTTCCTCAAAACGATCATCTACAAATACAGTACATGGCTGACAAAAAGAACAAAGAAGAAAAATCATGACTGTACAAAAAA